TCTGATTCTTGTCAAACCGTGCTCTAGAATGAAATTGGCCAACGTTTGAATGATCCCTGTAAATCCTTGCAATTCGTACATAAAAGTGTATGAGTATCGTCGGTAGGGATGGCAATATTAAGGACAAGCTCCGCGTTTGCACCACCTTCGCGGCTCAAAAATCCATGGAAAAAGCGCGAGTCGCTCGCGACAAAGCTACCGCCCTGCCCACTGGCCACCACATCACCCAACTTTCATTTCCGGCCTGCGTTGTTACGGTGATAGCTCTGCCCTTTCCGAATGGTAAGGGTGAGGTGATATGGAGAAGAACTAGCAGCAACAAATGAGAGCTCGTCTGGCCCTTTCTTCGCCTTATGCACATGAAACTTGGTTTGACATGGCATTCTAAGAGTGCACTTTTCTTTTTATTTTTTTTATTTCAAGGGTTTTCTTCGGCTTTCTTCTTATTTTCGTACCACCCGTCTTTAACACGTCTTTAACAATCTCGGAAGGCTAAAGGATCAAGAAACAGTTTCGTACCACCGTTGGTATTTGAGCAGCACAGCTCACCATTTTTGAACGCAGGGTGTGCTCTTGAAGACATCGTCCGAGAAAATGTGAAAAACTGTGTTAGAAGAGTAGTGTGATCCGCGTCTCCTGGGGGATGGGGGAGAATTGTTTATTATAAGGAATCAGCTGACTGGATTCGGCTCAACACGCGGTGTTTTTCATCATGTACTCGGCCAATTTCTGGAGATTAGAGGAACCCTATCAGGAGCATTTTAGAAATTCCTTTTGCACTTTCTCTTCAAATACAAGTCCCTTGACAAGTTCTCTTCCATATTTCAACACCACTGTTGGAGCATTCTATCGCCTTCGACTTTACATAGTTCAAAGGTCTTCAACTCACCTGCGCAAGCCTCGCTGAGTGTCACTTCACAGCTTCACTAAGGGTTTTTGAGTATTCACATCGATGAGAACTACAAAATGCCCCCTCATCTAGGATCGAATTACGCCTTTATTTCTTTGAGCGCACATACCGTTATCGTTGTGTGAGCCAAACCTAGCATGCCATACTCGGTTGTGCGTCACACGAAAACGAAGTCTAGAAATGCAAAAAAGGCACTAGGGTTTGGGACATTTGTTGCATCCAAGATCGAGTAAACGAACTGCAGAAGAATGGCTATATACGTTACCGATGACACGAGGTAATTTTTGGAATGTCAATACATAGAATTTCGCTTTGACTTTCTGTCAGGTAAAAAAGAGTTTTAATCACTCAAACAGCAGCAGACCTGGTACATATTTGGAATGACTCTGCTATGAGATCGAGAGCTAGACCAAGTAGTCAAAGGCAACGGTACCAAGGGCAAAGAGGGATACCCTGGACGTGTAGTTAATAGCGCTAGAAGCTTGGGCGCCCCTGAAGCAAAGCGCCTACGTTGCGCCCTTAATCAAGAATTAATCCCTTTAGCGCCTATAGGCTGCAACACAGCTCTGATACCGAGACGCGCCACCCTGCCCATCGTTACAAACGTAGCGACTCATGCTGATGTTGCTCAGCTTACGCATCATTCACGAAGTACAGATATGAAGCGAATGAGGGACTGGTATTGCAGGGCACGCCATTGCGGTTGTGATGCATTTTCCTGATATAAATACGGCCGCCCCCCCCCTAGTTCCATCTTCAGGTACCGACCCCCTCCCCAGTTCGTCCTCCTATAGATTTTTCCAAACTTCCTACCACGTCGGTACTATATATTTTTCCCCAAAAAAGTTCTGGTTTTTTTTTTACAAATTCTGCTGGTTTTTTTAGGGGGAGGTCGCAGCTACCTACGACGATATCCAGAAGTCACAGACACTCCTCGCTTGTAGCATAGGACAAAGGTTACGTTAGGAAGGGGAGCGATGACAAGGGCTACGATCACCGCCCACAGGGCACGCATGAATTTATAAACAATGGAAAGGACTTACGGAACAGACGAAAGTACATTCCCGGACTTTTCTGATTGCAGGAGCACATTTGCTTGCAATTGGGAAGCCCTATCTAGAAGTTACACCTTCCAAACACCTGCGTGAAAGCCCCATGCATGGCGCATTGCAAACTGGCGCCCAATGGCCTATTTCCTGATACTCTTTGCGAAAAAATGAGTTTTAGAAGCATACCAAAGTCTTCAAGCCAACTGCAGGTTTCATGGTCCCGGAGGGGCTGATTTTTTGTATGTGTCGGGGGGGGAGGGTGGTTACGAAATGATCACAACGGGGAATTTTTTCGAATAGCAGGCCTAGGAAGAAAATTAAAGCCTTGCTGGAAAGTAGAAATCTTCAAGCTTCCGGCACAATTCTTTTTTTTTACGAAAGGCCGTTGCATGAAGCTTGCCATGGACGTCCAAAGCGTAGCGACTCGCGGTTCGCAAAAATGATCACAGACGGATCACAACGATGATCACAACGGGGAAAATCTCTGGAATCGGAACGTTTTTGAAATCGCTCAATTCAGGTGACAAGAGCCAACCTAGCTCTACTCATTCCACTTACCCTCTCCGATAACCTTCACTTTTTCAACGAAGTTCTGTGTGTTACAAATGAAGGGCTACTTTTTCATGGTTTGGAGCTTGAAATTGGCTCCAGGCGAAATAAAAGCGCAGCCACGATAGACTTGGTATGAGCGCAGCTGGACAAAGCGAACAGCCAAAATATCGAAAGTAATCTATAGTATACCGGTTCGCCAGCTGGCCTGGTGAGTTTTTTTCTATATCCTCAAAATTTTTGACTGTGGATTATTTGATTGTTTGTTTTGTTGGAGATGTTGATATTTTGTTGTGAGGAAATTGCTCAGAATTCAATTTCTACGGTTTCATAGGTAGCTTTTGCAATGGATTCTTTTCTAGATTTTGCGGATTAGTGGATTGGGATTTATCTAGACCAGATGAGGAGTTTTGATGTGAAGTGTCTTGAAGTTTTTTTTTGAGGAAGGAGGAAAAAGTTTCAGCAATATTTTTTTTAGTTCTTGGCCTAGGAATAGTTCGATAGTGCCTAGTTCTATTTATTGTCATCTACATCGTCCCTTTTGAGCTTCTTTTCACTTGTACCGTGTATCACCGCTCTCTCCACTTCAACATGGGCCATGCGTTTACGACCCCCCCCTCCATCGCGGGCAAATACGACCCCCCCCGTTGTGATGATCACAAAGATGGCGTGCCTGCTGGTATCGAAGCGGCCGCTGTGGTGCATGGACAGTATGAGTGCATAGGAGAGCTCGTACTGCCGTAGCGATTATGGTAGATGACTGTGTGAAAACTCGTCCGCAAGTCGCTTTTTGGGTCGATGGAGAACAAGAGTGCAGGTTTTTGACGTCTCACATCGATCTTCCCATTTCCCCATTATATATAGGCACCCCTGCAATCCATTTTCAAACGAGGTACCAAATTATCTGATTATGGCCTCTAAGTGAGGTACGAAAAACGGTTAAACGTTGGGAGATGCAGTGTACTCTTGTCGCTACTTACAGTAAAACCGCTTACGAGCTTTCCTACCGTAACACCACTCTATGTAAGTGCATACAACCATGTACGCAGGAGGTGTAACAGTGGTAGAACGAGGACGAAAAACTTGTTGAAACGTTTGGAACCTGCGAAAAGTCGCCTTCTCTGCATGGTCGACGAAAGACAGCCTTAATAAGGCCCACTAACCTTTACTGGGACAACACGCTCCTTTCTTCCCTATCCTGGCCGTACACGTGTAGTTTCTCGGGCAGTGCTTATCCTCGTGACAAGTTGCGATCTTGTTAATTGAATATCGATCAGGATGCGGATCACCTCGAGGGACAAATGACTGAAAAACTTCAAATGACAGAAGGAACCTACTTCGCCGTCATCTGCTGAGGAGTAAAAACGCCAGTTCTAGCATCGGCTAGCCGTAGTTTTTTTTTGGTAGGCCGAAGCGTTTTCAGTGCCAAGCGTGATTCTACATACATACATGAGGGTGTTGTGCGGGGTAAACCCTCACCAGATGGTCAGAAGGGATCGATTAGTGTTACACTGCTTTTTCAATATTTTTTTTATTTCTCACTTTCATTGCTGCAGAATTGTGTGCATTCTCCTTTGGTCTTAAAATTATTCTCATTGCCACCACAACCGGTGAATGTGAACGAACGACAAAGTTTCGACGCTGCATCGTAGTAGTACCTGAAGGACTTGTAGTTATCTTGAGAAGGGTGAGGGCGGGAAGTGTTAAAGGAGGTACCTTGTCTGGGGTGGAGCTCCACACGGAGAACCAGCATGAACTGAGACGTGGCATATACGATCTGTAATAGAGAAATGTAATAAATGTAATGTAATATAGAAATGTAATAAGGAACTGAAAAGTCCTAACTCTCTCAACCGCTGAAGCGTTCACGTTGTAGAAAAATTATACGACTTAGGAGTGAATGGCACGAATGATTGTTTGGATTGAATGGGTTTCCTAGAAAGGATAGGATGCGTTCTCAGAGGCACATTCTACACTGAGTGCGTGGGCGGAGTTAATTAGAACATTGCACATTTCTCAATGGTCTGCTCATTCTCGTCTCATCCCACCATCAGCAAGAGTAGGGGCTTTCAAAATTCGTGACATTTTCGATCTTTCGTCAGTCGAAATTTTCTACTAGACAGTACATCGGTGGCTTCTTGTCTCCCTCATCATCATAGGGAACACGTTGCCGACCACCAAGCGAAGAATGGTTGCCTCGTTTTGAAAGTTTTTTGAGTCCGTACCGGGAAAGGCAGTAAGGTCATTTTTGAAATGATCTTTCCTGGCGGGCATATGACTGTTGAGTGACTAACTAAGTGTGATGGCGGTCAGAAGGGGCTACATCATAGCTGTATGGTTTGTGCGATAGAGGTTCCCATTGTGTCATTTTGAAACAAGTCCTGAGCAGTCGTGGAGTGGGCAAACCTGGCTGGGTTGTGGAGATAATGGCGCAGATTTGTACCATGTCATTTCGCACTTTGATTAAAGTAGAGCTCGCTGATAATCGTGGCGTTGGGTAAGAGGAATCCCGTGTGTTACCCTGTGATAAACTACACGAACGCCTCAGTGTAGCTAGTATGCACATCATCACCCTTCTACTCGATTGATTAGGCCCCCGCTATCCGATCGATCTAGGCCCTCGCTATCCGAACTTTCTCTGATTGGTAGGCTCAGCGGCAACTGGACGAGAAAGGTTCACCGTAAGCACTTCTTTCCAAGTCATCACACCTTTCTAATTTGGTGCAGCATATGGGAGTTAGGTAGCAGTACCCATCTAACCTCTTCCTTGAGATCAGTCAACTCCAAGGAACCCTGCCAAAATCAAAACTTCAACACTTTCTAACACGATGTGATGGACCTCTATCAATTGTGACTGGAACACGCCAAGTGTAAGGATAGAACCCCAGCGAGCCCATAGTAACGAATTGGATCAGTCCAAAGAGGCGCGTAGGTCCAAATCCAAGGCAGCATAGCTTTCCCTGCTGTCCCCAGTAAACATCTCTCCAGCAAAAATGATGGTGCTGTTTCAATAGCGAACTGTGGGAGGTAATATCAGGACCTACTTAATGGTTAGAACAAATGCCGGGAGTGCTCCCAACCACATCATGATTCGGTGAAGATTCTTATAGCAAAACGTGATGCAAATGATGAGTTTCATACTGCTCAGAAGGACCGCTCCAATAGATCCAATAGATGCGACTGTGGCTTGCTTACTTGGTATGTTCCCCACAGGACTCAGAACCGGGTTCAACCATCGCTGCAGAAAGACCTGATGCGAGATCTAAAGTGTGTCCAGTAGCTCTTGGCACATCACCACCAATATGAAAGGAACAGTGGTCCGAAGTGACACACCATCTAGTGCTGAGCGTGCTGCTGACCATGAGGAAAAGGTTTTGTTGTAAGGTAGTTGTCTGTCTGTAGCATTTGTTAAAAGAGAAGTCTTCTCCCCGGATCTCACTATTTTGATGAAACCGATCTTAACATTTGGCAAAGATATGCTCCCTCGTCCGCTAGCAGTGAGGGGAGGAATATAGGGTAGCACTGACGAAAGTAGGTTAAGATCAGTAAGGTTCACAAGTACCCAAGACGAAAGTCAGCTGTTAGTGAAGTTGTTGATGAGAAACGGCACCAAAATTGAGACTTCCACAGAATGTATCAGGAAGAGACTGAACCTGCTTTCTGACAGCATACTGACTCCATTCCACGCCCAACGCATTCGTGGGAGCCCGGACAAGGGACCCTGTCAGCTTCGCATCGTTTGATGTTTCCAGCGAAATCCATGAGTGGAAGACCCTTGCCGCAAAGAGCTGGAAACTAGAAAGCTTAAATCTGATTCAATTTATTTTTTTTGGAATTTATGACATGATCAATACCACAACGAGAGTGAGGACAAATTTGCAAACAGAACAGGTAAATTTAATTTCAAAATTTCTGCTACTGACGTGTAGATACAGCAGAAATTCCTTCCTTCCATTGTGAACTAATCATGTTTGAGAGCACACTCCGCCCACTACGGGCCGGTCTTAACACACCACACACGTGTTCAACCCTTATCAGATGTTCCTCTTCTCCACTGCCTTTTTGCGATCTCCAAACTCTCTTGAGAACCGAGTTGCTCAGTTTTGTATGAAGCGAAGCCCATTTCAATAACGCTCCGCCCAGTTCATGTGTGTCGTCCTCAATTAGTCCATGAACACCTTACTACTTTTAAACCACTTTTCCCTGTCTCTGCACTCGTCTGGAACCGAAACGTTAATATTTTGCAGCGAAGTCGCTCATTTCCGACGCATGCCCCGCACACTGTGGGCAGAGCTCAGCATAGGTTATGTATGCACATACAGGGGGGGGCAAAAAAAGTCATTCCGGCCGAGTCACATATGAGCGAAGTTTTCGCAGCCCAGACAGAGGAAGTGGATATGAGTACCAGGGCGGAAGATACCCAAGATCTTCCTCTATAAGCAGGAGCCGGCT